GCTCTTTCAACACTCAAATATGCAAAATATATGACATAATTCACTGAAGTCAGTCCCTTTTATATACGGCACTCTTCAAACCGGTTTAAACATGGCAATGTAAGTTAAAACACGATCGCTGCAGCAGGCTCGTAATCGCTTTTCTTGGAAACTTCATTGCAGGTACTTAAACAAAAAGCGCTGTGATCGGGTTTAATCCGTGTATTGAACCAGTGTTCCAGATTTAAATATAAATATATAAACACATATGTACAACACACAAATATACGTAGAAGCACACACAATACACGCACACGTCTTCTCTATCACAAAGTTGTGTAACCACGCACACAGTCATCACACTACTTGTATGAACTGCCTCTAAGCATTGTATCGTCTTACAACAATGCATGCAGAGGCGACTACAGGAATGAACTCTCATTGCAGGTACTTACACAAAAAACGCTCTGACATTCAAAGTCGCCGAATTTTTTATTTCCTTGATTTTCCTAAAACTTATATTACTGTCAGATGCAAAAATCAGATTGGACAAATTTGAACATTTTTACTTACACTTATTTGAATTTTTTCTACATAGTAAGTTTATCTACAATCTATAATATTTCCACATAAAAAAATTTATTTTAGCTCATTTGTGACACAGTGCAGTGGCGGGCCGTAGTTTGGTGACCCCTGGTTTAGAGCAAAGCCAATATTTGGCTATCTGCTGTGTACACTCCACGGGTAATTGAACTCCGGATTTCAGGGTTGTAAGTCTGTAAACTTACTGCTGTCCCACCGGGGGACCGGGTCATACCAAAAAGTAAATTAGATCTGCTGTCACAAATCGTTTATTTTACAATGAGAATAACTGATACAGCAATACCGGGATTTTTAAAAACTAAATAGTATTTATTTGAACTTTTACAAGTAGCATAAAACAAATAATTCAAAAAGGTTGGACCCAGACTTTGACAAACAGCCCGTCAAAACTATTTCAACTATCAGCAGCATAACCTAGTGGTAAGAAGTGATGTTTGTTTGTAGTGAAGCACAAAGCTGCACAATGGGCTGTCTGTTTTCTGCCTAGTTTCTAGCACTGTAAGTCCGCAGACATATCGCTACGCCACTGGGGGCAAGAAGTGATGAAAAGGAACACTAAAGAAATACCCTAACTTCAAAATGAATGACAAGAAACTGCTTAATAATACAACACATTGAACTTTTTTATTAGTTATAACTTACAGCACTACTAACCAAATTCCAAGCAATATTAAATCTAACCTCTACGGTCTAGGGCAGGGTTTCTCATCTAGTGGGACTTGAAGGTTGTCTAGGTAGGACGCGAACTTTCGAAAATAATTATTAAGAATTCCAAAAAACAGGGCGTTACCTCGCTGTGTCTTTTTGTGTCTATTAATTATTTTTAACCTACGAAATTTTTTGGGTAAAAATTATATTTAAAATTAAGATATTAATCGTTTATATTCTATAGGTAATAAACTAAGGGGCGGCAATAAGTTTAGTGTCTGTTGACGGCAAAATGATAAACCCGCGTCTTCTCACAAAGATATGTGGAAGAAAAGGGTAGTAGTTTCTGAATGACTTTTTCGATAAGTTGTTCATATTCTGTCTTCACATTAAACCAGATAGTATCCAAAGGCAAACTTTTGAGTAATTCTTTCAACGTCGGATCGCTTGCTACTTCAATGAGACTATCCTCCTCTGAGACTGAAAGTGACATCTCATTTGTTTCACTGCCAGAATGAATGAACGGATCCATCACCCATAAAAATCCAAATCCGAGGATCATCTTCAGATGGAAAATATTCATTAAATTTGGCCTCAAGCTTATCCAAATGTTCTGAAAACAAGCTTATCAATATTTTGGATGTTATATTCAATGTTCTCTGCTTCGTCTGCAAAGCAATGAAATATATAAAATATTCCACCGTCTACCTTTTTATTTTTATTTTCGAATGCCACTGTCTGAAACATCCCCGCTCTCCCATACCGACAGCTGAGTAGTAACATATACATATATATATATATTTTTATTGTTTAAATATACAGATGTATCTTCAAAATTTGCCGCTCTAGGCCCGTGCTTATACGATCTATTGGGAAATCCGACACTGTTTGTGAGCAAACCTTCTCTGCCATGGCAACTATAAAACGAAAGAAAGAAATCGTCTTCAACTCGAAGCAGCTTTTCGATTCGCTACGTCAATTCAAACGTTACCCAAATAACTGACAAGTTTATAAACGTAAAAAATACACTTCTTGAAAGAAAGTGGGGTTTTGTTTTTATCATGGTGGGACCAGTTTTTCATGTTTTTTTTGTTTTTTGACAGAATAGTTGGTGGGACCTAAGATGCAAAAGGTTGAGAACCGCTGGTCTAGGGCGTTTTACATTTCAGTCTTCAACTCTCTTTTATTTCACTTGCTGCCAGACAATGAGATTGCAATACCACTCCGGATGATTATTGGCTATTAAAAACAACAACAACAACATCTGGTCAAATTGTTTATGTAGAGTGGCACACTAATATACATATATACAGCTATGTAATGAACTATATCTATCAGCCCTCAGTGTCCCAACGGTAAGCTTGAGGCCATATTGACTAAAAGTTGGGTTTCAATACCCTTTGTAGGCACAGCACAGATAAACTATTGTATAGCTTTGCGCAAAGGAAACTATAGGTAATATGACTAAAACCTCAACACTACCCAAATGCAAAACTTTGTTTTATTGTGAAAATAGCGCTACTCTAGTGGTGCTAACGAGATGTATGCTGGCATTATGCATAAATAAACTCAAGAGAAAGCTCAGCTGAATGATAGAGAAAAATATACGTACATATGAACATAATAATAATTAACAAAATAATTATAGCACGTTACAATAATGTAAAAGTTTACGATGTAATATTGTGTAGTTCGTTTTACATTCCTTAACTTTTGAATTATTTGGAAAACTATATCATGGTCATTTTTATATTTCTCTGAAAAACAAATTATGTTGGTAAAATGCTTGGATTTCAGATAATGGTATATAATTATAAATATCTGAGTTCACATATCTAAATGTTAAAAGAAATCACGAAAAAGTAATGATAAAGTATATAATTTCATGATTGTTTTATGTACGTAACTAGTTAATAAAACAACGGTAAAAATAGTTTCGTTTGGAGTTTACTTACTGATTAAGTATTATTTTATTACAAGTTACAGCTTTTACAGTAAGGAAGATTATTTTTTAGAGCAGGTACGGCTTTCTGATCATTAGTATGACCATTCTCAGCTCCTCAAGTTTTAAACTACAATCTTGGTAAACACTTTAACTGGATTTTGGAACTTTATGTTTCCAAAATAAGCATTCAATTAAAAACACTCCACACCTTCTTCAACACTTACGTAATTTAGACAATAACGTCATTATGTCTAACTTTGATGTCGTAAACTTATTACCTCAAACTCCTTGGCATGAGGCAATACAACTTACTGCATAAATTATTTCACAAAGCCCACAAAAGAGAATCAACATATAACAGGAACATCTAATCGATCTGTTACAACTAGCCACATATATTTTATTTCAATACAGAGATTCGTACTTCCCTCAGCTATACGGGGTTGTCATAGGAAATCCAATATCAGGTACTTTGGCTACTTTTCTTACATCACATACAACAACATGCCATAGTCACTTCCATATATAATCCTGCATTTTGACATAGATATGTAGATGACGTTTTTGCGGCTTTGCTTGTCAAGATGAGCAAACAAAATTTCTCCAACACATAAACAATCTACATAAAGACATACAATTCAGAGTTGAAAATGAAAACAGCTACACGATAAATTTTTTAAATGTTAACATCACACGAACCCCTCAAGGCTTCACCACTAACATTAATAGAAAAAAAACCAACACATACAGCGAAAATTACATAAAATGGTTTTCTAATCACATAATCTACAAAAAGCTAGGCACTCTAACAAGTTTCCTAAATTTAGCATACACTATATGCACCACAGAAAACATCGATGCAGAAGTTGCGCACTTAACTCAATGCTTTACTAACGTAAAACAGTTTCCCACTGAAGTAATTACAGAAACCATTAACGAATTTAAAAAACACAGACAAGAGACAAGTAACAAACAAATTTAAAAAAAAACACTACACAAAACAAAGAAAACCTAATCACTTGTACTATCCCATATATAGAAAATATTGGTATACCTCTATGAGAAATTTGGAAAAGACTAGTACATAAATATAACATTAACATGACGCCTAGATTCATTTTCACCTCTGAAATAAAAGTTATATAATGAACCCACCACACCAGGAAACATTTACAAAATAAAGTGTAACAATTACCCAGCCATTTGCATATGTGTGAAACAGGACATAACCTGAAGATCAGGTTAAAAGAACATCAAAAAAACCCTTCACAAGTCCATGAACATATGAACGAAACAACCACAGCTTTTCTGAGCAGAATGTCAAAGTACGAAAACATGAACCTGATATTAACAGAATAAAAATCAGAAAAGCCTTATAAATAAAATCAAACAATTCTACAATTAACAAATACCCAGGCAAATCTCTATGTCTTTGATCATTACTTCCCTAGACACTTCTAATCTTATACAAATATTTCGCATAACATATTCTACTTTTTTATATTTATTCACTTTTTTGTTCGTTTTTTTATTGTTCAGCCATAAATAAATAATCTACCAATTCACGCGGATTGATATGCACATCCATAAATAACCACTATAAATTCTAAAATCGAAATACATTGTTAGATTGTTGATTTAAATTCTAAAACTTTCTTTACTGTTAAAACTTGTGTACTTGAGAATGGTCGCACCAGTAATCGAAACGTCGTACCTGTTTTAAAAAATTAACCTTCCTTGCTGTAAAAGCTGTAACTTGTAATAAAATAACAGTAACAAATATAATTTTGCTGCTAGAGAGGTCGCTAACGCTGATCGTAAGTTTCATGAAAGAGGTAAGCTAGTTCTAATTAAAAATTAGACTTTGGTCTCGGAGTTATTGAATTTAAAAGTAAAATATTATTTATTTATTAGGAACATAATAACAGGCATATGTTTGAGTTCAGTTTTGGTCATTTACCAAGTCCACTTAATTAAGCACAACAATGTTAAATTTGGTATACTATTTGACAAGTAACAAACTTGTATAAATAATAGCTATTTATCTTGTACTTGAAAGTTGCAGTAAACAAATTATCAAAAATTTAAAAATAACTAATCAAAACTGATACTGTGATAGTGATACTGTCACAGTGGTGTAGGAAGGAGTTACAAATTGGGGTGCTTGGCTAGACATACAGATTTTACAATGAGAGATTGAAAATATAAGGAGCTACTAAAACTTTAGTGTTGAGGTAGGGGAGTCTATGCTTGCAGTCAGTGCTATTACTCCTCTAATGTGCACCTTTACTTTATACCATAAAATTACTTTTCTTGCTTACATGATATTGATAGGGGCATAATTAGCAGATTAGTAAAGTTTGCTGGTGACCTTAAAATCTTGGTTATTTCTAACTATTGAGAATGTTTCACCGCTACAAAATGACTTGGATTTTCAGATTAGATAGATCTTTGACAAAATGATATTTCCTGATAGGGTCACTATAGTTTGGATTACACATTTAAAACAGATAATAACAAACTCAATAGCATGTCTGAAGTCAAGAGAATTATCTTATGATAATAGTAGATAAGTTTACTAGAGCTAGGTAATTAGTGAAATATCTATTAATTGTTGGGCTCATTATTTAATTACCTACAACTAATCAGTTATTCTCAAATGAGTCGTAAATAGTTGGAATAATCAAAAATAGTAATAATCAGAAACACTAATTTCATTTAGTTGACTATTTTCTTGACATTAATCAATTTAATTGTAATTTTGATTAATCGATTATTTTATTTGACTAACTGATGTAATCATTGTTCTATAAGTATTGCTGTAAGTGCTATATTGCTTGTATCAAAGCTAATAAAATTTTAGGACATTTATAGACATTACAGATCAAAAGATGCAATTCTAAATATATATACTAGTTAGGCCTCAGTTGGAATACTGTGCACAGTTTTGGTCTTATCTAAGAAATTTACAGGGATAAATTAAGAAGATGTAATAGCTTATTTACTTTTGAGGAAACAAGGGTAAGAGGTGAACATATTGAACCTTACAAGATTATCCAGGATGTTGATAGGATTAAAGCCTCTGGTTTCTTTGTGCTCTATTCTGAAGATAATAAGATGAAAGGACACAAGTTTGAGATTTGGAAAAAAAATTCATTCCAGCCTCTGGTTCAAAAAATTTTATTTTTAACACAAGGTGATTGACTTATGGAATGAATTACCATTGGTAGTAGTGGAGGCCAGAACATTATGAGTTTAAAAGGAGAATTGATGATTTTCTGAAAAGTAAAGGACGGGTTTAAATTTTTACTTTTTACAAGTTTGTGTGTTCAAGATGAACCTTAAAGAATATGTTATTTTATTCCCAAGTTCCATTATCACCTTAAAAATTTAAATCAATCTATCTTTAATGAATATCTGAAGAGCTTCTTCAAACATTTTACTGTCAAACCTGTTTAAGTGGAGCCTATCTGTAGCATATAATTCACCTTTACCCTGAAAACTGCCCTAAAGGTCCAAACATCACACCTGTTTTTCTGAGAATATTTCTGATAAATATCAGACATGGATTTATCAGTTGTAAGAGCAAAACATTTTTTATTTTCTTGCAATGTTTCACCAGGTTTACATGGCATCATCAGGTGAGATAGAAGAACTGAGGCTAAAAGAAATTAAGAGAATTGCATGAGTATCAACAAAATGTGATTCAGCAGTTGAATTATTAGTATAGTATTTATCAATGTCAAATATATTAAAATAAAACTTGAGCCTAAGCATAATTTTTTTATGTAGGAGCAAAAGTGATTAAAAAAGATATAAATGAACACTTTTGTAATTGTTAAGAGTTCTTTCTGATAAGTAATTTCTGATAAATGTTCATGCAAGCTATGGATCCCACTAAATAGTTCATTCCTACATTTAGCCCAGGGAAATACTCATAAAAAAGCCAAGCTTCCATTTCTATCTCTAAACTGCTAAATAACTTCTTTGTAAATAGCTCTTCTGATTTACCATTTCTAATATCATACCTTTTTATGTGCATTACAAAAACAACAAGTTCCATGATAGCAGCTACTAAACTGCCAAGACACTAATATCTCATACTTTAGTACCTGGCAAGCATATTCTAGTCGTAGTCTTCGTCTACTACCTATTCTTCACTGGAGATAATTTCATCAGTATACATAATGAAGTTTAAGGATATGTTGAGGCCCTTTTCATTTATATTAAACACGTTACCTAAATTATAATAACACAAATGTAATATTTTGTACTTACTATAATTAAATGTAATTCACTAAGTATTTGTCCAACTTATGAATTGATCCAGGGCAATCTGTAGTACTCTGCATCCTTAATATAGCTAGAAACAACCATTACTTTAATGTTGTTCATTTTTATAAACTAGTAATTACATCTATATCAATATCATTGATACAGATAAGAAAAAGCAAAGGCCCAAGCATTGACTCCAGAGGCACACCAATAATATAGGTCCAGATTGTCCCAAACCCCAACAGTGTGATATTATTAGCTAATCTTCAGTGTGAAATCTTACTAAAACTTTTTAAGATCTAAATACACTAGATCTACACCTTTTCCATTCTCCAGATAACCTCAAAATCAACAGATTCGCGAGGAAATAATTCCTTTTAGAGAATCCATGTTGATTCTCTTTTAGATCATATTTCAGTAAATGATTTTGCAAAGCTTCTTTATCAGACTTGCCAGAGTTTTCAAATCTGTATTTTTAATCTCTAAATGTTTTTATTTGTATTACCATATTTGCACAATACTTGTCATTGCTAAATAATTCATATGTAGTTTAAAATTCATTGCAACACTATGAAAAGTGTCTTACAGTCAAGAATGCAGTAGTTTTCTACTAATTGTACTGTCATTAAGTACTGTGTAAATTGACTATTTCAAAAGCTAGTTTAAATTAGATGTAATATTCTGACTGTAAAGTAATGTTAGTTTTATGAATTTTAATAGGTCATTCAAATTGAGTGAAAAGTGTTCTTATGACTTAGCAGTGTAGGTTTACTTTATAAGCTCATAAGAAAATTTAATAAATGCAAATATTACAAAATTAAGCATGCATATTAATCTCAAAAAAAAATCTCCATGATGAACATTAACACAATACATGTCATGATGAAAAAAAATTGTCTTTGTTACAAATATGCTTTCATAATTAAGTTTTCAGTAAATGATCATGATAACTAACAGTTTAATATGGAGAGTAAAAATCCTGTCATAGGAGCCAAAAAAGTCTTTACTTTGTCATCTAATTTATGGGGCAGTATTTTCAATACTTCAAATGGTCCATTTCCTCATAAACTGTTTTTATGAGTTAACTACATAATGTTACTGGACAGTTGAACTTTGATAACAAGAATGAATGTATGTCCTGTTCTTATAATTCTGTTTCTTTGCATAGTATGATAATTTTCTAACCTCTGAAATTTAGCTTATTATAATTTTGATCTGATATTACCACTTAAATTTATTTATTTATGATACATTGTATAAAAAGAGAAATGCAAGGGTTTATTATTTAGCCGTGTTAATATTCAACAAATCAGTATGATCAAGCATGTGTAAAAATGTGTTCACTGATAACCAACCATTTTTTTGTGTTTGTGAAAAAGATGTTTTGATTGGTAGCTTTGGTTCTTTTTTAAATATGGTACATGTCAGTAAATTTGTTAATAAGTCAGTGATAACACTGTGAATTATAGAGGAGTAATGTGTCCTCTGGACTACTAGTCACGTATTCTATATAAATGCTAGCCTAAAATTTAATCCACAGATCTGGTTTACAAAAATTCAGAAACATAAATTAATAACTATGAGTATTTCCTTGACTCATGGAAAAACTTGAGTTATAGCCAGGATTCAAGAAAACAACTTACTCCACAATTTTATCTTAATTAATAACTTGGTTATATCCTTGGCTTCAGAAAAGCTTAAAATATTAACTTATTGTTTGTATACCAATAATAATAACTTTGACTCATGTAAATGACTGATTGTTATAATACTGAATAAAGAAAAAACTTGTTACAGCCATAAGACCTAGAGAAAAATTATTATTAAAGATAAAACTCAAGTAAATACATAGTTGTAGGTTTGAATCCAGTAAAAGTGTGATGGTTGTAATGTGAAAGTAAAAGCTTTATGTTTATTGACTAAAGTAGAAATATTGTTAAATATACAGTCTTTATTGAAATGAAAGATTATAGATTAGTCAGGTTGTAAATATACTTTAAATTCAGTTTTATAGTTTTCAAATTATATCAGACAGATCTATTTTTTAATGGTCGCAGAAATACGGGTTCTTTTAACCATACCATAGGTCTGTCTGTTGCTGAGATCACTTTTGTAGGCATATTTTCCACCTGAAAAAAATCTTTGAATGCTTATATTAAAGTTGAATAGAAATGTGCTCTTAAAAAGCTTAATATTGAATGTTGCAGTAAAATATTTTTCACCCCATTATATGAGAAGTCAAATAGGTCTACTTGTCCATTAAAATGTATATATATATATATGTATTATAGAATAAAGAAACATGCACCCTCCACAATAAGCCCATTGTGAGAAAATAATGCAGGTACATTATAGGCTGGCTGTTTAATTTGGCATGAAATAGAATGAACTTTAAATTAATTTTAATAATGTGAGATTCCATTGAGATGCACTTAAGCAACATCATAATATATATGATTTTGTTTATATTGAGGAAGGGTTTCATTAAATCAAGTAAAAATTTAATTACATAGATTACAAACAATTACTTGAACTTATGGGGTTTTGAGTCCTTTTTAATTCATCATACAGTAACCTAACTTAATTTTTCTATGTGAATAATGTTATGACATTGCCCCAAATTCATTATTCTGTATTATACAGCAGATCAAATGTTTACTGATCATATATATGTGTTAAAGATTTTTTTTTCCTTTCTTACCCAAGGTAAAATTTAAAAGAGAATCTCTGACGTAGAGGCCTAATGCATTCCTTGATTGGATGAAAAGAAAAAACATTTTTAAACATATATATATATAATTATTTCAATTATAAAGCTAAGAGTCCTTTGAAAAAATGTTATTAAACCATTATTCACTCAAACTGTTTTTTGTTTCTGTTTACAGATAAATTGGTAATGAACTTTTGAGGCATAGCAAATCAGTCACTCATGGCATCAGAAGGAGCCATTGTACTAAGCTATGGAGACATATTGTTACGAGAATCTGATGTCAACTTATTGAATGATGGTCAGTGGCTAAATGATAATATCATTGCTTTCTGGCTTGAGTATCTTCAGAATGAAGTCTATGGTGATCATAGTGAATCAGTACTATTTATCAGCCCATCAGTGGGACATCTGTTAAAGGCTGGGGATCCAGAAGATGCTCAGAGTATTCTTGAATCAATGTGTCTGAGCAAAAAAGAGTTGATCTTTCTTCCCATTAATGACTGCACTTCTGCAGAAGCTATGGGAGGTAGTCATTGGAGTCTTCTTGTGTACTGCTCAGCACCTTGGGGATTTCAACATTATGATTCTCATACTGGCAGTGTGAACCTACTTTATGCAGAAAGAGTTGCTTGTCTAATTGCTCCATATGTTGGTAAAGAATATGATCCTAACCAAATAGTTCAAGTACTTGAAATGGAGTGTACACAACAACACAACAGCTATGACTGTGGAATTCATGTCATCTGCAACACGGAAGCTATCTGTAGAAAGCATTTCCTTAATGATTCACGACATATATCTGATATTGTTTCCTCTGAAACTTTATTCAAGGCAAGACAAGATCTACGAAATCTAATTTATTCTCTGCAAGGGAAAACTTCTGTGTGACTGTAATTCCTGCTTTTTTAGTGAATGTATAGTGGCTCAAAATACATGTTTTGTAATGGTGAAAATTTGAAGTGTTGTTTTTTCAGTATGTGTTGAAGTTGGCCTTAATGTTAAAATAAGTATACGTGGTGCTTTGAGTATATTTTTGAAAGATTTCATTGTTGTTGTTAATGTGCTCTTATACACTGCAAATTGTTGGAACATTTCAAGTACACCCTAAGCCTGAACTTAAGAAAGATAGAAAAAAAAACAAGGTCATGGTAGAATAATGAAACCATTTTAGTCTTGGTTGCTTATTACTAACTTTTTGTGATGTGTAGGACATAGAACATTGTGATATTTATTAATTGTATTAAAAATTGTAGCTTTTCTCATTCTGATGGTAACTTTTAACTTAAATTTCAATGTATGTCTGCATACTATTTTGTGAAGGTGGGCAAGCATTCTGTATACATGAAGACCTTTGTCACAATGTTTCAGATAATAATTATGATAAAAAGCTCTGATTGTATGTGAAATGGTTATTTTAATTTAGTAAAACAATAAAATAACTTATCAAAATAATAACTACTATTTTTTGAAACTTTTAGCTTTCTAATGAACAAATAGAAATTCATACATAACACACACAAAAGTCATCCATAAAGGATGTCACATGATTTAGGCTACTTTCTGACCCACCCCCCTTGTCATACTTGGTCACATGGACGGCCCCCTAACCAAAGTAAATGAACACTTCGACAACAGTTGGTAGTAAAAACATACACACGTTTTATCTCTAACTAGGATTGTTCTACCAAAAGTTAATACTCTATAAAGGTTAATTTCATTGAAGTTCAGTGGCATATCAATCATCAGACTGTTGAACTGAGTGCCATTCTGAAAAGGGCCTCTCAAGTAATTCAATTTTTTATGCTATACTAGTGCAGCATTTTACACAGTTCAATGTTGCTGTAAAGTATAAAGGTGTTGGGTCCCCTTCCCTTTAAAAAAAAACTGAAACAGGGCCCCAAAAAAAGGTTCTGATGCCACTGTTTAAGTTAAAATAAACTGTCATAAGAAATAAGTGAAGAAGCCTATTAAGGTAACATCAGTGATCTCATCAGTAGCTGTTATTCTTGTTAGAAGTATTTTGTTGAAGGGACACAACTGCACCATGCCATTTCTCTTCATTATGATAATGTTGAGCTAAAGTATGTGAATGATTTTTGTGACTAGACTTATCAAAATTTTAAGGTGTTTTGTGACAAATATGTTATGATTAAAGTATTATATATTTGGGTGATGAATACCATCTTCTGTATAGTGTTTAATGACAGTAACATTAAAAAATTATAAATTAGTAAAAAATGGATGGATCATTATGGAAAAAGTTATATAATCTAATCAGTGTCGGAAAAACAATTTTTTAATATTAAAATGCTGTGCTTCAGTTTTTCTGCTGGAACGTGGAACTTTCATACATTTAGAATGTTAATATTCAGTAGCATACTTTTTTTACTGATTCACCAAGTTTTTATTTGCCAGCAAATCTATAAGTTATTCATCAATTCCAAATAATATCCATTTGAAATCCCAACCTTAAAAAACGAGTTTTGGGACTAGAAATGAAAGCAATGTGTGATCTTCAAACAGTTGAACAATTAGAAATAATAATACAAGTTAATTACAGAAAATTAAAAAACCAATACATGACCCAAAATGTTGGCAAATACTGGAAGAACAAAACTTAGAATGTAACCAGAAACTTACAAGATCTGATGAAAAGATATGAGTAGGAATATAGAAAAATACTGAAAGAACGTGATCACTGATTTAAAATTATTGTCAAATATTAAATAAACATTACAGAAGGCTCTTGAACATGTGTATACAAAGGTTATCATTACCCAAGATAATTTTCAAAGTGGAGGAGTTGGAAGTTGTGAATGACAAGCTCATGGAAGTTCAAGAATATGGATAAAGATTTCTACATCATAAAAAAATGCAATTTACAAGATTGTAACTGTTTGTTTGTTTTTAAGTTTCACGCAAAGCTACACGAGGGCTAGCTGTCCCTAATTTAGCAGTGTAAGACTAGAAGGAAGGCAGATAGTCATCACCACCCACCGCCAACTCTTGGGCTACTCTTTTACCAACGAATATGGGATTGACCGTCACATTATAACGCCCCCACGGCTGAAAGGGCGAGCATGTTTGGTGTGATAGGGATTTGAACTCGCGACCCTCAGATTGCGAGTCGAGTACCCTAACCACCTGGCCATGCCGGTCCCATACGGGATTGTGATGCTAG